CTGAGATGCAAAGGTTATTGGCTCTTGCGCGCTACCTATCATATGCAGGCCATTGAGCGGGAAGCAAAGCCATGCGCTGGCAATAAGACCCTGGGCTGACCTTGAGTACCGAGGTCACTGTACTGTAATACCCGCTCCCTTCTATATCGACTAACTGTGAGCCATCAGGCATTGGGCAATGCCTTGACAACTGACGCAAAGCTTATGGTCTAATTTTCCAACTTCTTTATAGTTTTCTTTTTTTTTTTTCTCACCAAGTATAAGATTCTCTCGTAAATTAACAAGGCCCCTCTTGAAACAGCTAAGTAAGCACATTATTGGTCTTGGCAGTCGCGAATTTTCTAGACTATTGAGGCGCTACTGCAATCGATTCAGTAGCGACGCTGTAAAATATGCTTAAGTGCAGCTGAAGTCTGTCTTGGGTCAAACTATTGAGTCTAGACCCCCATCGTCATTTTAAAATACAGAATAAAAGGGTGAATGCCCCCAAATTGCGCTGCTGTCTTGGATTCGCCTTTGGTCCATTCGCTCATTTCTATTTTACCCCCACACTCGTTTGTTTTGTTCGTTGTGATCATCGCGAGATGGTTTCAAACAAGTTGATTCTTGCTGCTTTCGCAGCCTTGGCCTCCGTGGCCAATGCAAGCCCCTGTAAGCCGTCGCTTACCAAGGCCATCACTACCTCTGCCACCGAAACTGTTGGATCTTCCACTTATGTCGAGACCAGCACTGCGATTACTGAGAGCGAGACCGTAACTCAGAGTGAGACAACGACCACGGAGGCTCTCAGCACCGAAGCGTCGACGACTGGTGCCGAGAGTGCTACCACAACCACAACAGTCGACGAGCCTCTCCTCACCAACGCTGACTTCGAGGATGGTACGACTGCCCCGTGGCAGTTGCAGACGGAACGCGGGGATACCTTGACTCTTGGCAGCGGCTATCAGAGCCCAGCCTCTGGTAAAGTCCAGTTTGGCAACGTCCAAGGCAGCCAGTACGCCAATCTTATTACCCAAAAGATCAATAAGAAAGCACTCAAGGCGGGCTTATATGAGCTCCAAGGCTATACCCGCGTTGACAGCTATAGCCAGAGCGGCGACGGCTGTAGTCGCATCATCGCTGCTTGCCTCACGGGATCAGGAGATAACTCGGTCATCGTGCCAGGTTCGCTGATGCGGGCAACTGCGGAGAATTCGGCCAGTGACTGGTCCCAGATAGAAACGACGTGTAACCTCACGGATGAGATGCTGGCTGCAGATGACGACATCAGCGTTGTGTTTGGGTTCGCCTGTGCTAATTCGGGTGCCTACCTCGACTCTGTTGAGCTCAAGCCGGCTGCTGTAATCCCAAACACCGTCACTACCACTGTTGCGACCAGCAGTGAGACCAGTATGGGAATTACTACCACTCAAGCGACTACCGAGGCTACCTCCACCGAGAGCTCAGCCATCGCCACCGAGACTGCTACCACGACCACCGTAGCCGATGCAGATCCAACACCTGTTATCATCAACAGCAGCTTCGATCTCGATACTACTGAGCCCTGGCTATCAACTCGCTCTGAGACCATTGACCGCGACACCAACAATCCCTTCGAAGGCCCCGCTTCTGGACGACTAGAATATGAAATCGATGGCGGACAGGCCTACTGGAACTATTTCTACCAAAAGGTCAACACAAACGATCTCAAAGCAGCCTCTTACCGCCTCTCTGGCTCCATCCGCGTCGACTACTACACCAATAGCGTAGGTGGCGACGGATGCAATACCCTCGCGCTTGAATGTACCCTTGGAGACCCAAACAACTACGATCGTGTTCCGGGCTCAAATGTAATGGGCAGTCCTAGCGGCGCTGTGAACAATTGGGTTTCAGTGGATACAACTTGCACGTTTACGGAGGAGATGCTGTCTCAGTATGACTATGTTAGCATTACTTTTGGATTTAGCTGTGCCAATGTCGGCGCCAACCTCGACGCTGTGACATTCGAGGAAGTTCATTAGCATACCCACATACTATCTGTGTTGTATTCCTTTACTATGTACATAATTTAACCATATAATTAGTCTTCTCATCAGATCCGGCGAGTTTATTCGTCAAATCTTGGTTCACTAGGGCTGTTGCGAAATAACTCCGTGGTCCCTAAAGTCGACTCTCTTGCACTGGCGTGAGATTCTAGATCTTCACCACGCTCAAGGCCACAAGCTTGAGGCTCAGCAGTTATCAAAATGGACCGCTAGGGATATTACCTCGTTATCTGCGACGGATCGCGCGTAGATGAAATGCCGGAGGATGTAAAGCGAGCATGGGAAGCATTGTGCGGGCCCGTAGCCGGTATCTAGTAGGGGCATGAAGGCGCACGTAAATGAAGGAATCCCGACACTATTTATGTCTGTAGGCAATTGAGGAAATAGCCTTGGGGGGTTTGGCAGATGAAACAGGTTTCATTAAGGTGTTTGGTCCGCGGATGCAGCATCTCCAGGACAGAGCTTGTACCATTTGCTGACTCTCGCAGAGTAGCGGTAAGCAGATACTATGGTGCACCAGCGATATTTATGGTTAATCCGAGAAGAACCAGAAATATTTCCGCCGGTGATATGGTCGAAACAGCTATAGCAAGGATTCAATCTATCTGCTAAATGACCGAATTGTAGGGCTTTGGATTGGCTTCTTACCCCCAATAACTAGCATGACCTCAAATTACTAAGGGCACACGCAGTAGGACTCCAAAATTATACCTCTCGCAAAGTCCCCTTATCTATACAGGGAAATTTCTGGTTCTATTATCTCTAGCCGAGTTATCAGTTTATTAAAGGACCGGTTATTTGTAAAGGATCCGATTCATCCATCTTAACAGGTGACGTAAGTCTCACGGTCCCCATAAGCGTTTGGTCCTCTGAGGAGATAGGGAATAAGCAGTCATCCTCGGGTATGTGGCATAGTGGAGATTTGACCGCTCTGCTATTCTTTCTAGGTGAGATATCTCGGTAGTCGTTTCCCATACTGGAGAAAGTTGTCTTTTTATAGCAGTTTTCGCATGGGTACGAACTCTCCTCTGTGGATCTCAAGGGCCCAAGTGAAGCGACCTGCCTGACTCGAACACTTCAGTGGGTATCTCCGCGGACTGTGCTGTTCAACCGCTGAGTAATCGGGAACGAGCCAAGTGAGGCGTGTTGATTATTGTGATTCACTCACGGGTGGGTTCAAATCACTGTTGAGCTATGACCGGAAGCTCTGGGGTATATAAAGCCTCCTCTCCTACGTATCCTCTTAAAACCCGAGTACCATCACTCAGGAACTACTGTCGATCAGGCTTTTCTAAGGCATCTCTCACCAGAGCAATGAAGTTCCAGCTTGTCCCAATTCTCGCCTTTGCATCGCCCTGCCTTGCACAGGTCGCGGCTAATCCTCCCGAGGGAAAACATTACTCGCCTGTTCCACTTAACACCTTGTCCGAGAACTCGACGTCCGTCAATGTAGCGCCTTACCAGTCTAATACGTCGCTATACTATCTCGGCTACAAGGATGAAGACTGGTCTCGGCCGTTTGTCAAATACTGGAAACCTGCTGTGAAGCAAATCTCGGATGAAGTGCAAAAGGGAATCACTGAAAGCCCTCATGCCAGCAAGCTTGGTATGCTGCCCGCGGATCAAGTATGCGTCCCTGCTGACTTGTTCACTAGTTTTCAGCCCTCAAGAGGCGCCGCATTATCTGACCCAGCCCGGATACTTGCAGTTGGAAAACGGCTGGGCTGTGAGCGACGATAACAAACTGATGATAGCCATTCGTACTGATATGGGCAATGGTACGGTAAAGTATGACTGTAATAGCATAGGTGCTAACTATTGGCAGTCACGGGAGATATGTATGATTGGTGGTTTGGGTGGCACCTGGTTGACCCTCAGAGGCATGGTTTCTTCCTTGCACTAACTATGCTTAAATCAGGACTAACACACATGCAGATATAAACTTTGGAATCCAGTCGCTCATCAATATGCTTACCGAATGCCGAACGCAATTGACTGGAGTAACAAGACCTTACCCGAACGTTACATCGGATCATACTCTTGGATAGATGAGTTTATCGGTAATTTTGCCACTAAACTGACAGTTAACTTCGTGGACCCTGCATCTATCGGCTTCAACATTAGCGCCTTTGCATCGCAAGGCATAGAGACTATTGTTACTGCGCATATCACTGGCAGTGGTACGTGAACCCGCCAGGTTCTATTTCTTAAGCTGATCTTTTCTAGGTCACACTACTAACGTCACTGGTAACTCCTACCTCATGCATCAAATCCGCCGCAAGGATGATGGACAGCGAGAGTTGCGATCTCGATTCTTCCTTGACATCTTTGGAGATACCCAAGGTCATGATCTGGGCGTTCATTGTGCTGTTGAGATGTCACGTAAGTCTTCGATCCTCTTCAATTGTTGCAATCACTCATCACTGATAGACTTGGCAACATTTCTGCCCCAACTATTTGCGGAGTTCAAAGATACAGTTTGAGCCGAGAATGATAGGGCGTGATCAACATCTTCACTGATGAATCAAGTGGCGTATGGCGAAGGTGAGCATTTCGGTAAATGCGGTAACTGGCCTTCAAGAATGGACAGGGGGGTTGAAATCGGGCTTGCTGTCAGTCAGATGCCCCCTTCTCGATTGGTTCTTGAGGGCGGGGAAGCAATGAATAGAGCAATCTGATTTGGTGGTCATGCTTATCATGCATGCGGTTCTCACAAGGCATTCTTCCCTTAGCTCTAGATGGCTTTCACACAAATAACTCAATGAGGACTGGCTTCCAGGACAATGACAATTCCGCATTCCTAGCACCACAGGATCCTGATCTTCCACCCTACTAACTACCTTTAAGTTGTGCTAGTTTAAGCGCTTGATCATATCGACCACTTGGAGATCCTTCGTAAACCGCCACGCCTTCACTCCTCAGCTACCACTATTGCACTATTTCCAGTCAGCATAGGCTGCACAGCATCATACCGACATGCTATATCTCGGGAATCATCTAGTTGCTTTCTTTACATTTCTTTCAGTACCAGCCCTAGCAGATTCTGGCGATGACTTCAGCAACAACCTGTTTTCTGACCTTGCCCCGTAAGTTCTTTGATTCACTCCTATGCCTAGCGATAACTGACTCTGGAGAGGTTACTTGCATTGTTTGGAGAGCGGGTGACAATGCAATTCCTAAGCCAGTCGATGGGCTGGGCCGACTGTATCATCTTAGCGGTGGCGCCCCTTGGTATTATTACAACTATCGTTAGTGCTATCCGGGTTGACGGACCGCCTTGGCTGAAGGCTATCATAGGCAGGTCCAGAGAGAATCTATCAGCCGCTGAGATGGAGCTTATGTCATCGACATCTCAAGAAACTTGTGAGCTATGGAACGGGAGGGATATTGTGAGATGCCAGGGGAAAGCTCCTGTTACAGAGTTTATCTGTCTTGCGCCAGTGGCAGGTAGTGGGACCATCAAACGCATCAGGTTCTTGAAGCTAAGTGAAGCAATTGATCAAAAGCTGGTGCGAAAACAGCGTATGTGGCTCCCTCTGTTGAATTCCAACTGGAACCTGACTGGCACTTAGATGAACAGAGGGATGATATCTCCAACATGCTTGTCCCATCAAAATGGAGCCGCACAGAGCCCCAACGTGTCGAAGAGAGTAATCAGAGCCCTGAAGGTGGTATAAAATACTTTTGGGATGGCTTTAGATCACACCGAAAGAGTAGGGACATTGAAGTGCCGACGCCGATATTCCTCGAAAGTCGGACACCAGAAGCTCAAGCTCAGCCACCCTTGGCATCTGAACTGATTGTCCTGAGGAACACTACGACTCATGCCCCAAATATCACCCTGAATCGACATCATAAAGTCGACCGAGGTCATTTATACATGGTTGCGAGCTTTGGGATTCTCCTTCAAATTGGAGTCCTGGTCTACTTTGGTTTCATCACCTACTATCCAACTTTGAAATTCAAGAAAAACAACAAACAGGTACTTGGGTACGCCTTCCCTTTTGCAGCAGCTGGCACAGTACTCCTCGTCTTGGGGATGCTTCTCTCCGCCCATATTGTCAATCGTAGTACCACTGAGGAGAGATATGAACCAGCTCAAGGCCGTGAAATCAGGATGATCTGGCTACAGCAGAAGCAGACGGTGAGTGATCAGGTCTTCGGATCATTCGCTTTATACCCTCGACGGTCTCCACAGGCTATCACTACTTCAAAAAGAAATTCGACCACCGATTTCAATCGGAGGCGTGACTCCGAATCATCAATAGAGCCCCTATTCAACGATACGAGCTCAGCCTCCGATCAATCTCACGGAACACAAAATGCAGCATCATCTTACGACTTGGAGTCGGTACCAGCCTTCACCCTTACTGTCTTTGCAACATTAGTTTGTCTAGCTGGATTCATCATCCAGTTTATCGGCCTGAGAGCGATGCATTGGTCAGCGGCAGTGGGACAACTCATCGCCGTCACAATTATGACCATTCTTCGAGCTATCATCCGTCTAGGCTTCATTGCCCCTTTAAAATACTCCAATTTGAGGGATAGGTTTGAGCTTGATGGGCTTGCTCTGGCCCTAAGAGACCCAAAGCTAGGCCCTGATAGTGGACCAATGAATGACGATCACAATTTTGACTTCGGTCTCTCCAAACATCGAACCTGGACGGTGGTATTGAAAGGGGATTCAGACATCGAAACACCAGATCAAGGTGACAAATCTAATCCAGGAGAACTCTCGGTAGAGCGACGAGGCAATGAAGCACAAGAGATCTTGGAAATACGAAGACATCTAGCGCAGCTAGCCGGATGGGGTGGACCAGCTTCAAGAGAGGCAAACTCTCTTGCTGAGGCCATTGAGGTCACGATGAACACCTTATGTCCGTGGGAAGCCTCTGAGCCACCTACTTGGAGCTGGACAATTCAAGTCGATACACGCGCAAAAAACGAGGACCCTAAAACATTTCCCGTTTCTTTACACTTGAAGCACCTGAAAGGGCAGTGGAAGGCCCGTATAGATGAACTCGACTCAGTCTTATCCTTGTGGCTTGCCTCGATAGACAAAGAGCGAGAGTTGGCTTCAACTACCTCTAAGACAAAAAGGTTGGGGGACGATGACGAATGGTATCGCAAGAAGAGTTCCCAGACTAGGGGCGGTCTGGTACTTCTGGGAGAGCGTACAAAGTATTTGGAACAGGCATTTGAATGGTGGCTGCCAGCAGACGCACCAAAGCCTCTGGAGATCAATGAGAGCGAAATCAAAGAACAATACGAAGAGGCATGGAGGGTTGTCGGTACGAAATTTCGCGAGGGCTATTACAAGTCATCGCTTACTGAGTCCTCAGACGAAGAGGAAGAGCGCGAGCAGACGAATGTCGGTGATTCTGACGAAGTAGACGACGAGGACGAGGAGAGTTCTTTTGATTCTCAAACCGTCAAACCGGCCACATTCTTCTCTATTTCGTCGAACGACAGCCTGGAGCATCTTTTTGCTAGGCACATATTCCATGCCTTTGTTTGGGCAGCTGTTTCGAGGATGGAAGCCCCAATCGATCAACGTTCAGAGATGGAGGTAGCGGGAACAGTAATCCCAGGCGAATGGAACAACATCCGGCTTCGTGGCACTATACTTGCTAGGCTAGTAGGATCAATCGGAAGGTCAGGTCTAATGGACTTGAACCAGGCCTATCTCACACTTATACCTCCACTGCATGCTTATGCACGGCTTGGGGAGTTGGATTGTGTTGTTGAAATAATGCTTGGCCAAGACAGTACACCATGAAAAGGTTTTAAACTGGAGAGCAGCTTATGAGTCTTATGACGCTTTGTTGGACCTCGCAAGTCAGTTTCGCGAAGATAGTTTCACCTTCAGAAGAACGGTTGCGATAGCGGTTGAGTACATGCGAACCACAGCTTCATTGCCTAAAATACCAGAAAGTGGGGAGGATCAATTCTATGAGGCACAGTCAATCTATGAGAAACTGTCACTGCGACTCAGCAACCGCGCGTACCTGCGGATCCGGGATGATCTGGACATCCTATATAATCGACAGCAGCGGGGATCATTGATCTCTAGGCACAATGATGGACACCAATTCGAGATCACCAGCTGCGGCTTTTCACGGTTACACGACCTAACAGCCTATCGTAACTCTGAGAATGAGCGTACAATTCCGGTAATTGAAGAGATGCTTTCCAGAACTGGTCATCTTGCTGAAACACGATTGGCATTTGGAGAGATAACAGACGAGCTACATAAATATGTTAGAAGTCAAGACATCCTTGGATGGACCCCGCTTCACTATGCCGCAGCTTGGAAGAATTATGAAGCGCCCTACTGGATAAACAGCTTGCTGGCCAAGGGGGCTGATCTTGATGCTACTGATATTCGAGGTTGGACGCCACTACATTATTCCATTTGGAACCGCAATCCCTGTGCCGCTCGGAAACTTCTCGAGCAAGGTGCAAATACGAAAATAGCAGGGGTTGATGGCATAACACCTTTGCACTGCGCCGCTGCAAAAATGACGGCGCGTGTAGTTAAAGAGTTGATCTCTCACCCTAGGCAGCGCGCGGATCAATTTGCTACGGACAACTTCGGTAGGATTCCTATCCACTTGGCAGCTCAAGAAGGCAACACGCATGTTATCGCCACTCTCCGCCTGAGTATAAACGAGAAAGATCGGCAAGGCCGGACAGCATTTCATCTGGCAGCTTTCAGCGGGCACATGGAAACAATTTCTAAGATTGTCGAATGTGAAACCAACTTGAATGAGACCTTTGAGCCTTTTCAATTTTCTCAATCGTACACAGCCCTGCATTGGGCTGCGCAGCAGTCTAAAAGGGAACTTGTGGCGGTGCTTCTCAATTCAGGGGCTAATGTTAATGCAAGATGCCGTGTCCAGATGACCCCTTTACATTATGCATGTCGTGAGAACAGTCTAGAGATTGTTGATATTCTGATCAACAGTGGGGCGGATGCCAATGTGGAAGATCAATACCATTGCACTCCGCTATGGGATGCAGCGAGTTGTGGAAGACTTGAATACGTTTTTAGACTTCTCAAGGTGGTTGATATCGATATCAATGCTCGGCCTGGAACAAGACGTCATGGGAGCCCCTTGAAAGCTGCGATTGAGAGAGGTCATGGTGACGTGGTAAGAGTCTTAGTTGAAAGTGGCGCTACAATAAGTGAGGATATATTAGATTTTATAGCGGGTTCAGATAAATCAACAAACCGTCACGGGGCGGAGGAGAGTGAAGAGGACGGTGACGACGACAGTGACGAGCAGGCGACGGGAGACGACAATGGGGAGGCAGAAAGCGAGGGGAACAAAAAGCCAGGTCTCAAAATTGAAGACATTGAGATGTATATACGTGCCGCCTTTTCACTTCGAAAGGCTTTCGAGGAGCATGTTCCTGGAGAGATGGGAGGTATCATACTATCAGAGCTAATACGACGGCTGTCCCCCCCATAGCCGTTTTATTACTGCCTCTGGTTCTTTTGGTGCCGACAGATCTTGGTCGAGCTTCGGAGGTAATTAGACATATACGAAGACATACTAACGCCCTTGCCAAAGTTTAAAGAGGAAAAGAAGTTCTGCCATATTGTCTTATAACAAAGATGATGGTAAAAGTCATACTGCGTTCATGGTTCCAACAGCTTGATCAAAGCCTACGAGTGCCATAGATATAATGCAGTTCATAGTCATATTGGGTGACGTCAAGAAACCTATCTCAATCATCAAAGGCCTCTTTGTGTATACAGGCACAAGTGCCATGGACTCATCAAATACCTCCAGCCAGGCTTCCAAGAACTCCGAGAGGTGAAGGTGACGAGACTCGACAGGAACCTTTTGAAAAGGCATAGTTTGTAGGTGGATTTTATCGCGGTGCAAGACCCTCCTGGAATGCCATGCTCCTATCAGAAGGGCATTAGAGAGACTTCTTCGGTAACAGAGTGCTAGAGAAGACGGTCGACGAAAATACTGGAGAGGCTAAGTGATGTGATGATTTGGGACGCGGCCGGGACCAGATGAACTCAACTACACATGTGAAACAAGGTGAGGATATATCATTTCCTAGGTTCTAGAACGCAATTAAGGGGCCGAGAAAAAGACAAAGTCATGTCCAAAGTCAAATAGAGAAAAGGTTCTGCGCATAAGCAGCAGTAATGAAGAAGAGTAAGCCAAGTACATTGAACACTATCAATCGGGGCGGCTCATCGATACAGAGCACTTGAACATTGGAAATGGAACTGCAACCTTGTTCAACAGTGTTCATGAACCCATATCACATATGAGCAGGTACACTCAAATCTCGAGTTAATGTTGCTGAATACAACCCGGTTGAACACTACCCTAAGATACTCATGTACGAACGGCTGGGAGATTGTCTTGCGAGTTTGTTAATTAGAAATTGACTTTAGTATGAGCGTCTCTTGCTTGACCCTACTCTACTGGAGATATCCTTGCCGTCTTTCAACCTCATCTGCAGGGTCTGGCCTAGCTCACGCCAATCATCTCACAAAACCATCGTGCAGCCACAGTACTGTAGCTTGCTCTCTCGAAACCCGAGACCATCATCAGCATACACCTATCAATTGGTGAGCCTCCCAAAGCCCATCAACCCTCGATGGCGCTGGCTCCTACGGAAACATTTCCCTGGCCCCCAACTCTAGGAGGTCGTGTTCTGACAGCTTTCCATCGTCGTAGTAGTGCTCCAGGTATGCCAAATCACCATCCTCCACTTTAGCCACGTACTCGCGGGCCTCAGATGGAAGCTTCATGGTAGTGGGAATGCCCTCTTGTAATTGTTAGTAAAGTCTCGTAGGCGGGGACATGTCGACTTACTGAGATGAGGGTTCTTGGCGAGAGATTCTTCCGGCGTGGTGTTGGCGAGCTTGTCCTAATGCTCATCCCGAACCTTGCGCCGATTCTTCTTCACATCAACGGTTTTGTTGTCCTTGTGGACATTGGTTGTCATGTCGGTCGTGTTATTGTTAATTTCTGCAGATGAGTGCTCGGCAGTTTCAGGAGCATTCTTCTTGTCGGGAATCGACTGTTCCTTGGGAACATCAGTGTTCTTAATAGAGTCGGTAGCCATCTTGAGGTGATGGTCGGTTGTTGCTTGGGGACTAAGGTAGGTTTCGAGGTTGATTGTGCCCGGGACCGCGTGCTATGCAGAAAGGAAGCAAGAGAACAATTGAAGGGAGAGGTTTTGGATTTGGAGGGAGCCAGAAGGGTATGAAATGAGAAAAGTCGGGCTACCAGTGGCTATTCGCGGTGCGGTTGCCATACCACTGTGGATTACTGTTATGCGACTGTGCAGCAGTGGCAGATGGGATTCTCGTAAAACTGACAGTGGCAGGCTGTTATCATCAGACCCGAGATGAACAAGCCACTCTTGCTCGCTTGCCGATGGAGAGACCGGTAGGATTATACAAGCCAAGAGAGTTAAGTTCTCTATGTTGATTTAAGCTCTAGGGTGCAGAGATAGAGAGGAAAAAGAAGAATAGGTATACAAAGACCAGGTCTCAAAACTTTAGATATTGAGAAGTATAGCTCCGCCTTTTTACTACGAAGTACTTTCGAGGAGCAGGCTCATGAAAACCCCTCAGAGCTAATCGGACAACTATGCCCCCCAAGGCGGTTTTATTGCGGCCGCAGGTTGACCCAGGCACCCGAAGTATCTCAGCTCTGGTTCAAAATTAATAGAATATACTACACCAGACTCCCGTTTATGCCCCAAGCTATGGGGAAAACGAGCTTCTGCCACATCGTGTCATTCCAATTGAGATGCTGACAAGAGCCATACTGGGTTCCAGGTTTCCAAACCTTCATTAAGGTATCACGGATTCGACTAAATCCATGGTTGGGGGCTTTTAAAGCATAAGGTGCGTCGACAAACAAACATATCATCAAATTCTCCCCTGTAACCATATGCGCAAGTCACATCGTGCATCTATAGCCAGGTAGTCTAGTCAGTCAGTCAAGCTTTGGAAACTTATCCTCGAGCCTCGAGGTAAGGAGACTTGGAGGCTGACCAGTCTCAGAGCAGCTGGCCTAACTCTATATGGGCTAGTCCGGCTTGTGATTGGACGACTCATCTCGGTTATGCAGTCTGACAAGTCTGACTGTCAGAAAGTTGACAATATCAGCAGCGCTCTGTCATCTTTTCTCAACCGAATTCGTCAGCTTTTTCTTCCACATTAGCGTTCTCTCAACTCTGCCCAGATCCAAGCGATTTATCCATCATGAAGCCCAACTGGGAGCCATTTGTGAAATCTACTGAAGATGATTGGACTGCTGTACCAGACCCCGCCCAGCGAAAGCGGATCCAGAACAGGCTGTCCCAAAGAGCCAGGCGTATGTAGTACGACAACGCGCCTACGCGAAATGGCTAGACTGATTTGTTCCAGGGTCACGACTTGCCGGTAAACAGAAGCAAGCGACACAGTATGAGGTTAATGAGGACGCGGGAGCCCTTGTGAGAAGAGATGCAGGTACCAGTCCTGGGCAATCATCTACCGAGGGCTCAAGCATGGCTGTCACAGAAGTGTTCGATGCAAGCCTATTTCATACCCAATACACATCGGAGCAACCCACAATGGACAGTCATTACCTCATCTTGACCGACTTGACCGCCGCCACCGCTCTAGCCGTCATAGCCCAGCGTCTCGACCTAGACTGCCAGCGAATACCAGGCTTCAACATTAGAGCCTTGGCCGACAGTCTTCCGTCTAATATAGCGCCTACTCAATTACAGAAGAGCGTCCCTCACCTGTCATACCTAGACATGCTGCCCTGGGCATCATTGCGGGATAAACTCCTCAAGTCTCTCTCTATTATTAACGAAGAAGAGTTCGCGCGTGATATGCAGTATGGAAGCTTAAAGGTATGGGGGACTGTACCATGGGACCCGATGGGATGGGAGGTTGGCGAAAGCTTTGCGAAGCGGTGGTGGTTTTTGATGGATAGTGGGATACTTCAGACGACTAACTTCTGGAGGTCTCAGCGAGGAGAAAGGCCATTAACTCTAGCATCTCTGCAAAGCTAAGCGATTGAATTTCTATCCTTGGAACTAGTTCCATGGTCTTTTAGATTATCTGGTACTTGCAAATGAACGCTGTTGCAGGGAGTGTGTTCTGACCACAATTTCTCTCGGCTGCTTCAATCTGACAGTCGGAATGACCAGGGTGTCAGACTCTATGAAGGAAATGACAACATTGGATTGATAAGCTAAAACATAGTCATATATAAGAATAATGGCGTTTCTTCCCCAGAATAAAATATTGTCGAAGACACTTTCTCAGCATCATTTTACTTGTACCCGACGTTCTGTCACTCTTGACTTATCACCATGCAAGCGGCCTGGACGCAACTATTCCCACCCAAGCCTACTTTTACCGAAGATAATGTTCCTTCACTAGAAGACAGAGTCTTCATGGTGACGGGGGGGACTAATGGCGTCGGCCTAGAGCTAGTCCATATGCTGTACTCCAAAGGAGGCACAATCTATCTTCCGGCCCGGTCCGCCACCAAAGCACAAAAGACTATCGAGAGCATCAAAGCCACATACCCAGAGAGCACTGGCAACCTCAAGACACTTCACATTGATCTCAATGATCTTGCATCCGTGGCAGCCTGTGCCTCTACCTTTCTCGCGCAGGAGACGCGTCTCGACGTGTTATGGAACAACGCTGGAATTAGCGCCACACCATCACACGAAGTTACTGCCCAAGGATATGAGCCACAAATGGGAATCAACTGCTTGGCACCATTCCTGCTCACAAAGCTCCTGCTCCCCGTCTTGAAGCAAACAGCTAGCAGGAACCCTGGTCCTTCGACTCGAGTCATCTTCACAGGCTCAGGTGTAATGGACATGATGGCCCCTCCTGGAGGTCTTTCGCTGGCCGAGCTTACTCCCGGTAAACAATCCAAAGACCCAACACACAACTACACAATTTCCAAAACAGCAAACTGGTTCCTCGCCTCAGAATTCGACCGGCGTGTGCGTTCAGATGGTATTATCTGCATTTGCCAGAACCCTGGAAACCTGTCAACCAATATCTGGGATCGCGTGCCCTGGCATCTCAGAGTACCGAACAAAGTCTTTCTGCATCCACCTAAGCGAGGAGCTTATTCAGAACTCTGGGCTGGGGTCAGCACAGATGTTAAGCTTGAGGATGGTGGTAGGTATGGCATCCCTTGGGGAAGATGGCACCCGAGCCCGAGGAAGGATCTTGTCCAGAGCTTGAAGACGAAAGAGGACGGTGGTAGTGGAATTGCAGCGGACTTCTGGGATTGGTGTGACCAACAGACAAAACAATTTGTATAAGTCGACAAGATTCCTACTTATCAAGACCGGGCGTATGATCAACAGGGTACGGTTCACGGATAGATAATGGTATAGATTGACAGGAGGATATTTCCAATGACAATTACAACTCATAGCCTTACATAACTCATCCTATGTGTCCCGTTGCTAATGGTCTATACAGACTTTGATACTAAGTTCTGCAATCTTCCCTCTTCATAAACCTCGGCCTCTACCAGCCTATCCGTCTCCTCTATCCTTCCATCGCGAATTTCGAACCTAATGACAGTTGGAATAGCCGATATGTTCCACCTGAGCTTGTGTGGATTATCCTGCTTCTTCCACCTGTGGCTCTGTCAGCTAGCACTCTCCAACTGTCTAGAATAATCACTCACCCAGGCCGGGGACCGACACTCTCGTAAATAGCCTTGGGCCCGTCCGGCTTATCAAATGTCTCTTTCAGGAATGGTAATGCAGCTCGAACATCGGAGCACCACGGTGCACCGGTTTCCTCATCGTTTGAACTGGTGAGAATGACATAAATTGGCCCGTCACCTTTGGCAAGAGGAACTAGGTCCTTGGGACTCGACAACTGGACATCTTTAAGGATCGGCATGATTTCAGCTATTTTTTGATACAAGTATATGTCCTGTGAGTAACTAGTGTAAGCTATTTATCCTTCTAGGTAGGTGGGTATCAAGGCGATGGTGTCATCGGACCCATGGATTATTACACCGCGACCTGACTCATATTGCCTCTCTAGCGCTCCCTCTCTTATTCAGAAACGACCACAATGCGGAACCCATTACCCCGCCAAAACCCAGTCGGCTCAAGACTCCCACGATACGTGCACGTCGCCTTGGCTCGACCACTCGAAAAGCACCCTCCTCGCAAAACTCTCCTGATTGAACCGTCCGCCTCCAGATCCTCACGACCATCTGAGCTTGTCCACGGGTATTTGAACGTTGGCGTCGTCATGTCCTCTCCCCATAAAGTTGTGCACCATTCCCATACTTGGCCTGACATGTCGTAGCAGCCAAACGGTGAGCGGGACTGGGGAAATAGACCGACGGCACATTTATTGTTCAGTCCTAGTTCTTCGCAGTTTAATAGACTCGTTGCGAAATCGGTGCCCCATGGGTAGATGTTCTGTCCTGCCTGGGACTCGCGCTGATCTCCCCTTGATGCTCTCTCCCACTGGGGTTCTGACGGCAGTTGTACAGTTTCGTTAGGATCTATTTTACCTGCCTTCCTCCATTTCTGCGTAACCCATTGGCAATATGCTCTGGCGTCATGCCATGAGAGATCTGTTGCTGGTGTGTTCCGCAAAAATGGATCATAGCCATCTTGGCTCAGCCAAGTTCGACCTGTCTGCTGCACAAACTCTCCGTAGTCTCGGTTCACAACTGGAAACGCGCCAATTTTGAAGGCTCCAATATGAAGCCTGTGAACAGGCCTGGAGTTAGGATGATTGCACGATCCAAAAATGCTTGTTCCTTCTGTGACTGCGACCAACTCTGTCAGATTGCGCGGGTCTCCAAATAGTGAGAGATAGCGACCGGCCATAACCCGATAGGATAAGGGGAGGGTTCCAGTCTCGACCACCTTAATTAGGCGAGCGATGGCTTGGGTGACCAAGGGCGTATTGTTGATGTCTATGAACTCGGAGGCGGCAAGTGCAGCATATTGAGCCTTTTCCTCATCAAGGTCATGCTCATACCGATCTAGAAGTTCACAGATGAAACTCTCCTGCTTTTCTCCCTTTGCAAGCCGATTCAGAAGACTTCGAACAATGGGCATTGCCGATTTAGCATCTTGGTCAAAGATATCCAGTGTCTCCTGAAAGGATGCTGTCTGTAGTCGCGCAGCCACCAAAAGGTCTTGAACTGCGGTGCACAAGACGAATGGCCATTTCTGTGTCGTCTTTGTCAGAGGAGTAAGTTGGCCGTGCCGCTGATATTTCCCTTCGTCCAGCGTACCATGTAGAATATCTTGACGTGCTTCGGGGGTTAAAACCCTTAGCCAAGCATCCAAGGCAGATTTGCCGGTATCCCCACCATGTCCTGCCGCTAGGGACAAGGCAAAAACAGCTGGTCTAGAAGCACCGTCTCCAGAAGCATGGTTTGTGTCCAGATTCAGTTTTTGAGCGAGCTCATGTCTTTGAGTGGTCAGTAGTGGTAGTAATTGGAGCTTTGCAAAGCCCACTGGCAGGGTCCAATCTTGAGTTTCCTCGTCTCTACCCAGTACGAGCAGCCTGACGTGCGGTCTTGGAGTAATAGCGTTGGCTATAGATGTGATGTGCTTCATCCCTTGCGATCCTGCGTTTTCGGTGCCATCCAGTATAAGAAGCAGTTCGTCATATTCTCTTCCTTTTTCTCTACTGTCCCAATATTCAAGAATTGCGCTCAGATTGCCAACAAGATCTGCAAGGTCTTGCGTGTTGGCGACTGTGACGAGCAATGGCAGCATTCTCAGCCCATTCAATATCTCCTTCCGTCTCTCGCCGTTTTCATTGCGGGGAATTGCGTCTCTGTCTCTCTCAAAGACACCAGTGGCATGACCAAATATCAGGTATTCTGCAAAGGTCGTCTTGCCCGAGCCACTTTGGCCGGTGAGGAGTAAGAACCGATTGTCTCGTACGGCTTCGAGTGCAGAGATGTAGACTGCATCCTCGCTCGTATTGCCACCTTTGTGTTTCCGCAAGCCTTTGGCTGCCTTGTCTTCAACGGTGAGGTTCACAAGTAGTGGGATGTAGCCTTCAGATAAGGAAACGTTCTCATCATTGTGGGTGGTGTATAGCGTCTTTTGACCTAACGCGACTCCGGCCCGTTTGAGCGAAGACCAGTCCTCCATATCCTGCGACTTGATCTTGTTGTGTGGGCGCGGCTTAGGATGCTTGAGACCTCAAAAGGTGTCAAGTACTGAATGAAGGGGATCAAAAGAAGGCTTATAAACGCGATTGAAATTATTTTCGGTTCCTAGTATCCACATAGCCAGAGCACGTCATTTTATACCATATACATGCCATTGCCTCCATGGGTCTCTGATAGACGTCGTTTGTTATCAAGCACAAAAGGTAGCTCCATCGAAATAAGACAGTAACAGTGAACTTGACCGGTCTAATAATGCCATGAAGTCTTCCTGAAGCTGCCGATATCGGAATATGATGAATATGACTGTCCTCATTATTTGCTCCTGCACCGTGCCTGTCTACATACAAAGCCCTGTTCTTCGACTCTAGATCAGCATGTTTGTTACTCTCGGCGACTCTTGATGTCTTATTCTACTCCAGGAATTTGTAACTACGTCAATGGCAAGTTGACTTCGCCTTATTTTGCCTACAGTAGAGCTATCCACCACTTCTCTAAGCCCTGAGATTACTTCTTTCGGCCATACAGATACTTCATCGCCGTGATGCTTAAAATGGCGATTCCGCCAAACAGGATCAAAATCTGATAACCATACTTATACTTTGGTGCATCGTATGTCGGAAAAAGAACCACTGTAGTAAATTAGCTCTCAAATAAGCCTTAATCGCGTTGTGTGAATACTTACACGGCACCCAAAGAACCCAAGCGTACGACACGAGATTAGCCGTAGCGACTAAAAGCTGCCTCGTGTTGGTATCAGCAGCGTTCAACCCATATGCCCAGCTCTATTTCACATTAGCTGTGAGCCTGATAATAATACCGCATCGCTTACAATCAGAACAGGAGTACTTGCTGAACCAGCGTAGGAGATGTAGTAAGCGAACATGAGAGCGGACTTGGGAATATCCCAGACCGAAAGAAGAATATTGGCCACGATCATCAGAAGCGTCAAGGATGTAATTAGCCAATAATACTGCTTGGTTCGGTCCGCAATCATGCCCCAGGCAACAGTTACAACGATGGCAAGCGCATTTCCACCAGTCGGTAGGTAGTTGATCTTTTGCACACTGTAACCCTCTGCCTTGAGCCAGAGGTTGAAGTAGCTTGTAGCTGTGTGGCAGGCAGCGACCATTCTGTGAAGTATAAGCCACTACGATATGGAACCTGGCGGGATTTTGACTTACGTGTATGGGATGACAAACATCCAAATCCTCCATCCCAAGTAGATTCGCTTGATCTCAGCCCAGTTCAGTTTTACCCGCTCTTTGACGCCAAACTTGGTGATCCGCTCCTGGCCATATTTAATATGCTGTGGGATTGTAAGTTGACTGGTCAGATTTCCTTCCAATTTGACTCACTTCTTTTGTCCAGTAAAAGGCCCTCGTGTTGTGAGGGTGATCAGGCAGTCCGAAAAGACCCCAGATGGCCACGGGAACTGAGATTACTCCGTCCATGATGAACAGCCATCTCCAACCAGCGAGGCCATGCCGCCCGTTCATACTACTGTATAAACCAGCTTGAAGATATCCGCTGAACATGCTGGCGATAGACTCAACCTCGAGAAGAATGGCCAGGCGCTTTGTCAGCTCATTAAGACCATACCAGCTGCCAAGCATGGCGATGTATCCAGGAAAAGCGCATGATTCGAACAGTCCTATGAAGAAACGCAAAGCGTACATCTTTTGGTATATCAGCCAGTAAAACTTGGAAGATGGGAACTAATATCTTACCACTTTGATACTGTGGGTGAAGCCCATGCCAATGACCAAAGCCGACCAGCATATCTCACAAGTTGGAATCAAGATGGAAGGGCGGATATGGCTTAGCTGCAGCATCTGGGCCGGAATAGTACCGACCATGATGCCCAGACTGAACCATGTGCCAAGCCAGTTGCGTTCATTGCCATAGAGATCGAGATCTTCTTGCATGCCGCTGACAAAAGCGTTACCTCAGAAGCGTTAGCGAAGGGCAATGAATACAAAATATCTAGCCTAAGAACTCACTGTAATTGGTCTGGTCCAAATACTTGATAAAGTAGCCAAGCAAAACCGTTGGACTAGGCGCCGTTAGCTGGGCGTCTCGCTAATGCAATGCAGTGCGGGACGAGAAAGAAGCCACGGCACTACTTACAAGAAGATCAGATCTAGACGTCTGACATATGCACGGTATTTGGGATCCCCGTCAATGGAGTCCCAAAAGAAACCGGCAACGCGACGCCATTTAGAACCGGACTGTGCATTGGGGTCAGGACCATGGTCGATGGCTTCTGTGTCCAACACGGGACTGGTTTTGGCGTCGAGGCTAGGCTTTGTCGCGACTTCAGCGTCACTATGACTGTGGGTATCAATTTGATGAGCCATTCTTACCGCAAGCTTTGTCTTTTGCTTATCATGGCCAGGGAATAATCTGGGAGTTATATAAACATGACTGGTGATGGACACGAAATTGCCCGATAGAGTGCAACACCTTAGTCAAGAAAGACCAACTATTATTTTCCGCTATGGATCTATTTCCCCTAGTTCACAATCCATAGGCAGAGTTTCACCGAGAATGGGAACAATCCCATCTCTGATCGCACTATGGATTTAGGCGAAGTCGTGATAGCAGTCTGAGATGAACCTGATAAGCTGATGGCGCAATAATAGTCTGAGGCTGCGACAACAAGCTAGTACTAAAATGCCAAAGCGACATAAGAGTACATGGGATCAGTATGGGGAGCTGTCAGAAAAAGACGTATTTCTATGAACTTGCTCCTCGATTTCTCCCGACCAATGCCATTGCAATCCGCTATGGTGTCATTCAAGACGTGGGGCGGCGTCCACATTTAGAAACCATGGAACTGGAGCAGTCGATATTGATAAGAAGACATGATAAGTCGACTCGGATATGAATCACAATCACAGAATATAGCCAGAATGTCTGATGTTCTTCGCATCGTTCTGGAAAACGTCGACTTTCGTCTGCCCACGCAGGTGACCGATGACAACAGTGTCCTCGCTCTCAAAAGTCTAGTCTTGGAACCTCTGATTCGATGGCAGCCAGACGGCGAGGTCCTACCAGGGCTCTTTGACCGATGGGATGTTTCAGACGATCAACGAACATGGTTCTTTCATATCCGAGATGGTGCAGTTTTTCACGATGGAGAACCTTGTGACGCCCTCCTCATTGTCGAGTATATCAAGGGCTTCCTTGACTCACACGATTACTTTGGCATGGCCTGGAGCTATAGTCGATATTTCGCCAACACGACATTCACCGCCGAGGATTCCAGAGTGGTTAAGATTCAGCATCAAGATCCATTTGCAGATCTTTTAAACGTCCTCAATGACTTTTGGCCATCGAGGATTGACTCGAATGGAAAGCCAATCCTCGGCACAGGGCCGTATCGCGTTGTCCACTTTACGCGTCAAGACAGCGTTGGGTCTGCAACACTAGGGCTGTTAGATCCTGCTCAGCACCCAGATTGGCCGCGGCAAATCATTGCCACGGCGGCTCGCAGCGGTGAAGAAAGGCTGAAGCTTTTGCAAGGTGGACAAGTGGATGCAGCCTTGAACCTGGAACGCATTGACGACCTGAGTCTTCTTGACTTCCAAGCCTCGCTACGGTGGGGAAGAGTTTTAAGCACCTTGTCCGTCATCTACTACCTCAATTGCCCAGAGGGAATCTTCTCTTCGCCGCAGGTGCGCCTCGCTGCCAATCTCGCCATTGACAACCAAGCTCTGGTCGAGGAAGTCTACTTGGGCCTTGCAACACCAGCTGCAACCGTCGTCAGCCCTCACCATCTTGGTTTCAAGGAATCAAACCTAAGCCCCATTCCTTATGACCCTGAGCGAGCGAAAGAGCTCATCAAGCACCTTGACCTGAGCAAGCCTCTTCGCCTGCGCACGCCAGAATGGATGCCGGAGCACGCTATCAAGATAACTGAGTTCGTCAAGAGATCCCTAGAGGCCATTGGTTTCAAAGTAGACGTTGAGATCGAGACAAATCGCCCAGAATACGCACGTTCAATAGGGCTGCGGAAGAATATTGGTGATCTAGCTTGTTTTGACTCGACGCCCAACACAACCTTTCGGGTTCTAGACGACAAGGTATCGAGCGAATCACATGGTACGTGGTGGCTGGGGTATCATGATGATGAGTTTCAGAGGTTGTTTGCAAAGGCGAGAATAGCAACGAAGGGAGATGATAGGAAGAAGGCATATGCGGAGGCTTTGAAGAGGGTGCATGAAAATCCCCCATGGTTGTATATCGCTCATCCGGATGTCATTTGGGCTACCAAGCCTGGAGTCAAGCTCAGTATTGGTCCATCTGGAGTGTTGGAATTAGGCAAGTAAGTGCCTAAATTAAGCTGAATAGGTTCTTCATCAGGCAATGTACTGGGGACAAGCGGAAATGATGAGGGAGTCATTTAGAAGTCTGCTGTTTGTTTGCAACAAGGCTTCACTAGACTTTGTAGAATAGTGCAGGATCAATAATACATTGACGCTATCCAACTCTCGTCGGTGAATATCGCTCTGCCAAGGCACGTTCATGCACTCCGCGAAAAAGAACGCCCTCCTATGACAGGAACGGTTACCCTGCCCAGAAATGCATTTGTAATCTCCGATGATGAATCTACCAAAGTGGAGTGCGATCGCGGAGACCTGCGATTCTGATGCACCTTTTTGGGTTAATCACCTTTTGGGGTGCAATACCCGGCGTCGGATCGTGTATCCGACATCAGTCTTTTTTTCCCACCGTTTCTCATTTTCAATCCTTTCTTGGCAAGATCAGGCCTTTTATTTCAAGACTTACTGTACCGTGAGTTACAGTGTAGTTGGTGAGGAAGTCAAGACAAGCGACCATGTCTTCGCCGGAAAAGACTGCCGAAGCGACGGCGGCGAGTGAGCCACAGACCGCCACAGCGAATGCGCCCTCTGTGTTGGACAACGAATCAGCGGCTGTAGACATTGAGAAGAGTTTCGCAGCTTGGGTATGTGTCTTTGGGAGCTTTCTGTTTTTGATGCCCACATATGGTAAGTATAGCGCCACTTCAGCCCTATTACCCGTCATTCACATCTTCTAGGCATGATGCAGTCTGTCGGAACGTTCCAATCCTACCTCGAGTTGAATCAGCTCTCCGATTACTCAGCTGGCGATATTGGCTGGATTCCTGGCATGTACATGTTTGTGTCAATGCTTGTCGCCATTCAGGTTGGCTCCTTTCTTGACCAGCGCGGTCCTTTCGCTATGAGTATTGTTGGGGGAGGCGGCATTGTTATTATGTTCGTTCTGCTAGCTGAGTGCAAACGGTACTGGCACTTTATGCTGTGCTTTGGAATTTTCGGTGGGCTATCGACTGCGATTGCTGGCACTATTCCCGTAGCAGTGGTCGCAAAGCTCTTTTCTCGGAAGCGCGGTTTCGCTATCGGAATAGCCCTCACCGGTTCATCGACAGGAACAGTGATCTTTCCCATTATGCTTCGATCATTGCTCCCAAAGCTGGGTTGGAGCTGGTCAATGAGAATACTTGCCTTCGTCATCCTCGGTATCTTCACTCTCGGAACAATCTGCTTCATTCCTTACCGTCGACTTGTCAAGCTCGTCAACATGCCGATAGCCAAGAAAGGCGGTCTCTCTCTTCTCAACTTCTCTGCCTTCCGGTCTGTGGCTTTCACGCTGGTTTGTGTTATGTTCTTCGCTACTCAGTTCGTTCTTTATGGAATCGGTGGCCTGTTGCCGACTTTTGCGATTCAGGCTGGTTTGACGGCCGAAACTGGCTATACACTAGTTTCTATCATCGGCGGTGCTTCGGCTTTTGGTCGTGTCATACCAGGCTTGATTGGCGACAAGCTAGGCCATTACAATGTTTTGATATTTATGATGGCTTTGACGCTGGTCTTTATGGGTACACTCTTTGTCCCCTTTGGCGACAACAGCGTCGTGCTCTACGTGTTCACAGGTATCTGGGGTTTTTGTTCCGGGGGTTTCTTATCTATAACTCCAGGTAAGAGTCGTCTCCAGTGATGACAAGAAAAGCATCGCTAACAATTTTAGTATGTGTCGGCAAGACATGCGAGCCAAAAGATTACGGACGATATTATGGTATGATCCCTGGCTTGCTTTAGATATTACCTCGCTAATCAGCTTACAGGAACCATGAATTTCGTCATCAGCTTCTCTTTACTTATTGCCATTCCAAGTAGCGGCACAATGATAGACAAGATGGGAACTCAAGCTCTTAGCGGCTTCTTGATGGGAGTTCTAGCTCTCGGCCTGGGTTGCTTGTTTGCATCACGCGCCGTCCTGGCGGGGAACTGGTTTGGAATCAAGACCAAAATCTGAAACGGCTATAGGGATACATCAGAAAAGATGACGTTAGACACTAAAATGGCATATGAATAGATTTAAGCTTGAGTTTCAACAATATGGCTCTTGACACAAGCTACTTGTATCAGTCCACGGAACAGGAACTTCTAAACCCGGGTCATACAATGGTGCTCTCCTTCGTTGCGGTAATCTGGATACCCGAGGCTCCAAGGTGATTTTATGACGAGCCTCAACCTCTCCCGACACATTCCGATCCACGTCTCCTTCGTTTAGGAGGAGAAGCGCCAGCTCAGGCCGATGTTTCCTGACATCAAACGTTGTGATATAACCCTGTCGCTCTCCAGTTTTATTCGCATCACAGAATGCATCGACCGTGAAAAGCCAAAAGCCAAAGGCTGGCCTCACAACCTTGGTTATGTCTTCATCCTGAGATTCTGTGGGTTCCGAAGCTGCAACTCTCTCTATTTGTGGTTCTTGAGAAGGCCATGCACTTCCAGGCTTTGCTGACCATCCATTACCTTCCCATTGCAACCAGTCCTCGGTATCCCCGAGGTTACAAATCGCTCGACGAGGATTGAAGGCAAGTAAAAGACGGTATCGTTCTTCACATGGTCTTACTTTTATCCCTTCTAGAACTTGCAGCCATGAGTCATATAAACGCTTGGGATTGCGGACGTGAAGATGGCTCAGATCGTCTTCGACAGTGCGAGGATCAAGCCCAACACGCTCGAAGCGGTGTGGCATAGCGTGAATGGGAATTGACCTTTGGAGGATCGTCTTGCGGATTGTTGAACATCCATTTTCACCACCAATCATCTGCCGAATAGATTCCTGGATAGAAACCAACCAAACTTCATCAAGACCACTGATGATTTCTTTGAATATCCTCATCTTTGAGGGTTCGATTTCAGATGGCCTCATTTCATGGAGACCGGATCGACGTCGTCCCAGCTGGTTGCTACAGAGTGCAAGATTTCTGATACCGACGTTACGTGGATCATGCTTTATCTTTAAATCGCACACAAAGTCCACGGTAGCCATCGTGCCATCC